TTACATAATATATGAATAAATATATACTTTTAACTCAAGAATCACATCAACAAAAACAAGGTCTGGACTGTATGGTGATTTATATATTTCTGTAGCTTCATTGATTGTTTTATTACTTTGTATTAAACATTATGAATCTTTCTTAAGCTTAAAACTATAAATAACTTAATGGAACAAATAAATATTGAGACTGTGTGACGAGTTAGGCAAAATTACGTTTATAAATTACCCGCGAAAAAAATGCCATCCGTCATTGTAATAAAATGTATCATTTCTAATAATACCATCCTTTTGTTTGTATTTTCCACCCTTTTATTTCAAAACCTATTGGTATGTGAATACGGTACTTTTCAAAATGTGCCAGAAATTTGATGAACCTTTGCTTTACGCGCCATATTTACGTGCGATTTCGTTAATTTCTACTAGAGACACATATTAACACATTATTAGTTAATTGTTTTTTATTATAAATTAACAAATAAATGAACTAAAGTTTAGACTTAATCGAATTTCATGGAACAGTACAAATACTACTGAACGAGAACCACTGACATTAACTAACACTTTTTATATTATAAAGTCTCTAACAGATGAGCGTTTCATTAGTGACTTTTTTCTCTAGAATAACTTGATGATTTGACTTACCCACAGGAAAGCTTCGTTATAATAAAGAGTTCCTTGCCTTTCCATAAGGACGTTTCTTGATATTTTATAAATTATAATGTTAGATGAAGTATTGAAGCACCTATTTCTGACAAAGTTACAAACATATGAAGCTTAATCCATTGTTTGGAGATAATCAGGAAACTTTAAGGGAAAACGTAATGAAAAAGCTGATATGAAACGATAAACAAGTAACCACAAGATGTGAGAAATAATTGTAAATATTGTATAATAAATACATTTAAAAAAGCAGAAACAGCTCAGTTTTTACCATTTTTCACCATAAAACTTTAACTAGAGTCAGTAACAGTTAATCAAACACATCTTAAACCTAACACCTACGATATCTTTATTACTTTTTTATTAAGTATTCAACTGATCATATATATATATATATACGTGATATACCTAACTCGTATTTTAACAGCAAATAGGGGGTCTTCTAAATAACAAAAGATGTGTTATATATATTTTATTAACTAGCACAGCTTGTTAATACTAGTATCTCTACTCTACTTACCTTATCAAATATTAAAGTAACTTTAAATTGAATTTATTCTTTTTCTGACTTTAGTGACGGTCCCCTTCCAGCTGTGTGTTATCAAAAAATGCCGGCTCCTCCTTAGTTCCAAATAAAAACAAAATAATTCCAGTTAAGGGATATCGTTTAGTTTCATTGTTTCATAAAAAATACTCTTTACTTAAGCCGCCTATCTTACTTTTATTTGAGGAAGTTAATATTTGAATAGAAAATCATGTGTTTTTTTACATAATCCACGATAATATTGTTACTGTTGCTAAGCGCGTTTGGCTCCATGATCAAAAATAATTTTTGTATTAAGAGACTTATTCATTAAGTACTGTTGCTAAGCGCGTTTGGCTCCATGATCAAAAATAATTTTTGTATTAAGAGACTTATTCTTTAAGTACTGTTGCTAAGCGCGTTTGGCTCCATGATCAAAAATAATTTTTGTATTAAGAGACTTATTCATTAAGTACTGTTGCTAAGCGCGTTTGGCTCCATGATCAAAAATAATTTTTGTATTAAGAGACTTATTCATTCAGTATTCGTGAGAATTATCTCAAGTATCGCAGTCTAAAAAAAAAAAAAATTCATTTACTTTTTTTTCTGACTCTGCTGATAAATTACATACGACCACGAAAGTTATTTTTTCATTTTAAATATATTTTTTATTATTGTATACTCAAAATGTAATAAAGTCAATTATCGCAGTTATCGATTTAATTAATCAACTGAACAATACAAAGCTATATTGAATTATCCAACATTTAGACCAAAACATGGAAAACGAAATATCTAAATTTCGTTTCGTATAACGTCTCCTCCCTTTTTCCTCTTGGCGACTGGTACGTCAAGTCCTGAGCTGTTTCTCCTGAGAAATGTGCTTTTTAAATAGGTCACTATCGCAGACACTGGCCTTCAAACACAGGGATTTCTTTGGCAGAGATTTTCGCAAGACATAATTTGATTACACTTTTGCATCTTGCGATTTTGCAGAGACGAGGTCACGCTTTAGATAAAAATTTGTTTATAGAATTTTGATAATACAAAAACGCGTTACAAGATGCAAAAAATATCTTTCAATAGTATTAAATAATATTATATAAAATAGTATTTAAATAGTATTAGTATTTCAAGGTAAAATATAGAAAGCGCATTACAACACGTGAAGAAAGTAATAGTTTTAAGTTCGATAAGAACTAGAAAGAATATCACAGAATGTATTCTAAGAAAACATATATTTTGCGATGACTAACACATCAGACTACACTTTATGCCATTACAACCACAGATACAACCTATAATTGTAACACTTGCAAATAATTCTGTAACATCTACACATTTACGTTCATGATGTCAAAAAAACACGTAGGTTTAAGAAGTCTTGATACAAAATCATAAAAACCTTATAACCAAAGCGCTTTCGAAAGGCGGACCTTTCTTCTTCAGGGGCAAACTGGGAATCAAATATAAAAACCCTATAACCCGAGCTCTTTTGTAAGGTGGACCTTTCTTCTTCAGGAGCAAACTGGGAATCAAATATAAAAACCCTATAACCCGAGCTCTTTTGTAAGGTGGACCTTTCTTCTTCAGGAGCAAACTGGGAATCAAATATAAAACCCTATAACCCGAGCTCTTTCGAAAGGCGGACCTTTCTTCTTCATAAATATTTTATTCTTACTGGCCCTCAGTTCGGAGGTAAAGTAAGTTTATTATATCTTCCTGTAAATGTTTTATTTTCGTTAAGACTAACAGCACATAAAAACGCTTTATTTACTTATAGGGCTTGCAGTTAATCGTATTATGAGTGAAGACAACGTTTGGTGTTCTTTAAACGATTTTATTGAAGTCTTTACTTTAAAATACTAAACTATTTTATTCGCTAATGCAGACTTTTACCAAACATCACGAAATAAAGACTTGTCTATCAATTAACTACAGTTTTAACACGTGATTGTACTGTAGATAGATCACTGTGATAATTTAAAATTCCAATAACTCTCATCCTGCTAATAAATACAGTTTTCAGTGAATAAGAACATTTAAACACTGACGATTATTGGAAATGTATAATACGAACTTTTGCTTGGATAAAAAAATGTATTGCTTATGAGGAAACTGATACAAAAAAACAGCCAAAAGAAACGTTTATTTCTGAAGATATACATAGTTTCTATCATATATATTACTTATTTTAGGTTCGCATATAACAAAGTTAACTTAATGGACTTGTCACCGTTTATACAGAATATTAAATGAAATGATATTATAAGCTTGTATATTAATTCGTATACTATAGTACAGCGCGTGGTATCGGCTTGAGATATGTATTTTTAAAGTGATTTACGTGATTTCCAATAACTTGATTACTATAAAGTTTATTGGTATTTCTGAATTTTTACATGAATGTTAGGACGTTTTATGCACCGGTTATATACTGAAGGATGTTCTATAAACTGTTTATATACTGAAGGATGTTCTGTAAACTGTTTATATACTGAAGGATGTTCTGTAAACTGTTTATATACCGAAGGATGTTCTGTAAACTGCTTATATACTGAAGGATGTTTTGTAAACTGTTTATATACTGAAGGATGTTCTGTAAACTGTTTATATACTGAAGGATGTTCTATAAACTGTTTATATACTGAAGGATGTTCTGTAAACTGTTTATATACTGCAGGATGTTCTGTAAACTGTTTATATACTGCAGGATGTTCTGTAAACTGTTTATATACTGAAGGATGTTCTGTAAACTGTTTATATACTGCAGGATGTTCTGTAAACTGTTTATATACTGCAGGATGTTCAAATGTTCTATAGTCTGTTTATATATACTGAAGGATGTTCAAATGTTCTATAGTCTGTTTATATATACTGAAGGATGTTTAGATGTTCTATGGTCTGTTTATATACTGTAGGATGTTTAGATGTTCTATTGTGTGTATATATACTGTAGGATGTTTAGATGTTCTATAGTCCGTATATATATACTCAGTGATTTCTGTAGTCTGTTTACATATTAATGAATATTATGTACTCTAAGATATATATTTATGTTTATTAGAGGACGATTGTTTATTTAAATTATCGCATGCGTAATACAAATCCACTACGTCAACTTGTGACGACTAAGTCAGTGGTACATTTGTCTATCAACACTATACTTATATTAAAAGTGAAAAGTTTTACGATGACAACAGGGTTGTAAAAAAAATGAAAAGTGAAATGAAAGGCGAGTTTTGCAACACCACTAGTTGAACAGCATGTGTAATGTTGCCGTCTAAAGCAGGAGTGAAACACTGTTGTCCAGGAAACTGTCGCCTGGAATCCGGCCGTGCTATGCAAGAAGGAACAGAGTTTGAAGAGTTGGAATTCCTTAGCAAAGTTACAAAAGGAAGTGCTTCAAAACGAGCGCCTAAGGATGTGAGTTTGATATACGTCCCAATGCAACATATGTCAGAGAAACGCAATATCGCCAAGCGTGCGTCTGTGACGTCCTGGCAGAATTCTGATCGAGTCGGGAAGGAGGAGCGAAGGTGGAGTGGTAGGGTCTCGGAGACTGTTTGATTCACCTCGCATATAACTTAAAGAGAATACCACTGGACAAACCAAGAAGTTTGAAACTTTGAAATCTATGTTCTGTTGGAGACAAATATATATTGCTCAAACAAAATCAGTGTGGATTGTGAAGTTTAAAATAAAACTTCTACACATCTTTATTCCAAGTTGAACTTAGGAAATTCTATTATACGCAATCCTTGGAAGAAACAGTCGGGAAAATAGTGTATTTTATGTAGAGGGAGAGAGAAAATAGACCAGTGAATTATGTCACTTACACCAACAAGCCACGCATGATGATCGACTTCACACTTTCTTAAGGTAGGTAACTAACTCTTTGAGATTTTCCCTCAGCAAAGAACTATTAGTTTTGAGTGCTATCAGATTTGATGAGAACATTAGTCAACTAGAGATTTAAAAGCTGAAAAAACACACACACACACACGCACACACACTAACTCCGCGATAACATCTTAGTCGAACGCATGTCAACAGGTTTTACTGGGGCACGAGTAGACAATATAATGTTATCTCTTTTTTGTTGTTTTTTTATTTTTTTCTGGCCATGAAAATGCATTTTATTCACAGGGTAATCGTACAGAATTGTATAGATTTTTAACTGTAAGAAAAATCACAAATATGACAACACAGGACAGTGAGTAGAAAGACCACCTCTGTATGATCTGTTTCATTCACTATGTGCCCCGCAGAGGAGAAAATGGCCTTCGCAAGGTGCGGTCCTTCTCCTGATAAAGTGTTGCCACATCGTAAGCAGTTTATTTTTAAAGGTGACACGGACAATGGTTGACTGTGATTTATCAAAAGCGCTTGACTTGATTTCGTTTCGATACCAATGAACCTGTGTCCTTCTATACATCTCTACTGCACACACGGTGAAAAGACTAATAGGAGAACTCAATGAGAAACCATTATGGTTCACTGTACACGAAAGAAAATGCTTTTCTGACTGTGACGATGAACAAAAGAGGAAAAACTACTCGTTGAAGAATACAATTTCCCTTAGATATAATATACTATTCCACTACTATTAATCAACCAACAATTGATTTAGTCCTAACGTTCCGGATTTGGTTGAATATATTATTAATAGAACCTCAATATCCCAAATTTAATTAATGATTCGTTAGTATTATAATCTATCCATACATCGTTTCTGATTATAATATGAGAAAAGTTTTGCTTTGTTTAATGTAATAATTCTATTTAACAAGTACTTTAAATCATTCTATGGATGCATATAACTGATTTAAATCAGACCTAACAACTCTGCGTTAACTGAATGGTGGGCAATATTATCAACTACTCTAAATCATAAATACCTTTTGGATTTTGCTTTCGTTGTGTTCAGGGCGAAGCGTATCAATATATATATATATATTTATCTATCAATCTAAGAGATTCAGTCTTAATTCATTACAGTAAATATATTTACCTTCCCATACATTTGCCTTTAATCCTTAGAAGAGCTTTAGATATTAGTGTGATCACTTATGGGGGTATTATACACACATTCCTGTCATTTTTCTGATTCTTGTCTTTTCTTTCTGGCGGACTCCACAGTCTGATAGCATCGCATATTTTATCCTTGATAACGAAACCTACAGGGCAATAGGTCTAGTAATCACCTTGTTACAAACACACTTCTTCTACGACACACGTGTTTTGTGGCCTAATGAGTATATCATGTCAAGTTATGAGTAATAAACCTTTCTACATCATCTAGTGGCTAGGCCAACTCTTAACATTCTCCGATTGGCTCTGACGATCACATTCACCGTTACAAAATGGTTCTTGGTAGGCCCTGTGAGATACTGTGCACGTGAGAGTTAGAAGTGTGGTCGTAAAAATGTTTAGCTACCCAAAAGCTGGATTACTAATTTGTATTTATTGCCACAGCTATTATGATATGCATTCTCGATTCTTTTACCGATAATCATTTACTGTAAAAGAACAAATGTATCCTAGACAGAGTTCTCGAAACATTTATTACAACAATATCATTTCAGAAATGGTAAAAGAAATCATATTATCCTATCTTTCTTCAGTTAAAGAACGGTTTTATCCTATCTTTCTTCAGTTAAAGAACGGTTTTATCCTATCTTCCTTCAGTTAAAGAACGGTTTTGTCCTATCTTTCTTCAGTTAAAGAACGGTTTTATCCTATTTTCCTTCAGTTAAAGAACGGTTTTATCCTATTTTCCTTCAGTTAAAGAACGGTTTTATCCTATTTTCCTTCAGTTAAAGAACGATTTTATCCTATTTTTTCATGAAGGTTTTATTTATTCATTTTGGTTTAATTAACATAAAATTATGTCGGTTGTGAAACAATACAACTTCTACAAACGGTAACCGTGATTACGAAATTATATTTTAATCGTCCTATGCTTCTTTGTATTTAACTTAATAACACATTACATTACGGGGATTTTATCGTCGGAATAGCAACTGGAAGTTACCATAATCGGCTTATCGTCCTTTAGACATTTGACTAAAAATAAAACTACACACGTTGAAAAAAAACACTTAAAACATGCGTGTTTATATGATCTTTATTTAAACTTATTAAGGAGAATGTTATATCCCATAAGACAATTGTTGAAACGGAATATAATTAATGGTATGTTGGCGTTTGTATGAAAACACGAATAAGTATCGAATCACTTTTTCTTCGCTTATGTAAAAACGTGCTTTGAAACTTTGGACGTGGTAAGTAACCACAGAGGTGAACGTATTTGTTCTTGTGTATTTTCAATCTATTTTCTAAAAACCGCTTACAGATAATTCACCCCTACACTCTCTCTTCGCTAAGGTTTAGGATCTACATAGCTGTTTAGAACACACTCAAGTCGCCTATGGAAAGCAAAAATATGCATATTGAAAGTAGATACGTTACGAAAGTAAACGATCCAAAGATGGCGCCTTTAAAATGCATAACGCGGATTTTAGGGAACAGAATTCTTCAAACTATACACTTTATGGGACAACGTGGGTCATAACTATTATCTCACAATGAATGATGTACTAAGTACCACTTAAAACAAACACTATTAGTGTCAAAGTGGTTATTGTTTTATAACCTTTCATAACATTATACGTATTAAAATAATGTGATATCCACTTGTTCGAAACAACGGTATAATAAACAAACACTATTAGTGTCAAAGTGGTTATTGTTTTATAACCTTTCATAACATTATACGTATTAAAATAATGTGATATACACTTGTTCGAAACAACGGTATAATAAACAAACACTATTAGTGTCAAAGTGGTTATTGTTTTATAACCTTTCATAACATTATACGTATTAAAATAATGTGATATACACTTGTTCGAAACAACGGTATAATTTACAACCAAACATTAATGAAATAAACCTATATTTCAGGTTTAATAGTTCATATAATATATGCTTAGCAGTTGAGGCAATCATTACTATGCTTCAATACTAATAAAAATCCAAAAATCGTTTCTCCAGAAATTATGTAAACCTGGACTCCTAACTATTGTTTGCCGAAACAAACATGGACAATAGTCAAGAAAACTAAGTTTATGGGTAAAAACAGTACGATTTCTACCCAAATGTTTGGACCACACCCCCACATGTTATCATTATTTAACCATTATCTGTATTAGATTGATTAAATCGTGTAGTTCTCTACAGTCTGGGGCATTTTAAACAGGCATGTTTAAATAGGCATGTAAATACAAGTTCTAAACATTTTCAGTTTGGGTTTAATATTTTTCGTCACTTTCATTGGTATAACCAGTCCTAGCAAAAACTCCATCTAAACCACCCAAAGTAAACTTGAACATTTGGAATGGGTTTTTATTTAAAATAAAATAACGTGTTGAACAATACAAACAACAACTAATCAGAAAGGGGATAAACAGAAAAATCAACAGAGAATGGCTGACAACAATAATAAAGGAAAAAACTATGACTGGTTAGAAAATGTGGAAAATGAGTTAAATTAAACATGTAAACGAAAAAAAATAAACAACAGAAAAAAAGCAATACTTTTTCATCGCGGTTAAAGGATACGTGTAAACAAGATAATTATTTAAAATTAAGTGTATATAACTTTCATAAATATAATATTTTTATGTTTATATTCTGTATTAAGGAAAAAAAAAAACCTAAACCTATGTTTGATCCTGCGCATCCAAAACTATTTTAGCTTCGAATCTTTTCGATGAAATACTCTCGTTACGGGGGAATGTTACGACGGGTAATATATCTCGGTGGCATAAAAAAGAGGAAGAGCGTTATATTTAAATTATATTTTATATTTCGACACAATTTCACGCTAGAAAAATGATAACAAAGTGCTTTGTATATAGATATTAAAGTGTCGGCACGCGTCTTTTTTTTCCGGGATAAAACGCGTTATCAAAATCTGGTACACTACAACCAGTGGTTCTTTCTTTTTTAATGCTACATTTGAAGTGATACTGAACGGAAATAGGTATACTGGTTTCTCGAAAGATAGCAAGAAGTTTTAATGATATTTTATCTGACTTTTGTTATCGACACTACAAGAATAATGTTGTATTTTCTTAGCTCAATCTAATTCTTATTTTATATGACATACACGCATTACGTGTTTAAACATATGAGTATAGCAGTTTTACGCACTACATGTTTAAACATATGAGTATAGCAGTTTTACGCACTACATGTTTAAACGCTATACTCATATACTCACTTTTAAGACTGATTATCGTACTGTATACAATAGTGTTATCTTTTGTTACTACTCAGTTTTCAGACTAGTTAACGTACTGTATATCATAGTGTTATCTTTTGCTATTACTCAGTTTTAAGACTGATTAACGAACTGTATACCATTGTGTTATCTTTTGCTACTATTCAGTTTTAAGACTGATTAACGTACTGTATGCAATGGTGCTATCATTTGCTACTACTCAGTTTTCAGACTAGTTAACGTACTGTATACAATAGTGTTATCTTTTGCTATTACTCAGTTTTCAGACTAGTTAACGTACTGTATACAATAGTGTTATCTTTTGCTATTACTCAGTTTTCAGACTAGTTAACGTACTGTATACAATAGTGTTATCTTTTGCTATTACTCAGTTTTCAGACTAGTTAACGTACTATATACAATAGTGTTATCTTTTGTTACTACTCAGTTTTCAGACTAGTTAACGTACTGTATACAATAGTGTTATCTTTTGCTATTACTCAGTTTTAAGACTGATTAACGAACTGTATATCATAGTTATGATGTATAATGTTAAAATATTATCAACGTGCTTGTATTTGCTCGAAAGATA